CCTCTTCTCCCAATAGAATCCGGTGTCATGACGTAGTCAGGAGGGCCGGAGGCGGTAGAGAACGCAGGTGGCTGGTGCGACGAAGACCTGCACCTAGACGTACCACAGCATCCTCTGGTCCTCTAAATACACTGGGCAGGATTTTACGCAACAAAAAATGGTGGATAATTAGAATCCTACTGAAAAAGAATGCCACAGAGGCCACATTGAGAAGGAGTCATTGCAGCCTGACCTTCAGTCCACCAATTGGCCACTCCGCACAAATACATATTGAGCTGACTGCGAGACCCGAGTTATCCCCTCGACTTTTAGCTTACTGTGATAGATTAAAGAGCATCAGATTGATCATGCGCTTAGACCATTGGCCTCAGTCCCTCTTCCCACTTACGGGTGCCAATCAACTGACCGAGCCGGTCAGTCAACTGATGCTGAGAATAGGGGGGGGAGGTGATGGCTGACAGGGCTGATCGTCCACGCCTACCACACACGCGACCCGCCCCCTATACCCGCACACGGGGATTTCACATACGAGGAAGTAGACAGCTCGGATCCACTTTTTACTTACATGTGAGGTGCGTGTGTTGATGATGGAATGCGTGGTGATTTGGTCATGTCTGCGGTGATTTACCGCAAGTTTTAATGGAGGCGCATGTAACCGAATAGGTTCATGCGATAGATAAATGGACGAGGGCCATGCGGACAATCAAGGCGATGGCGTCCGGCGTATGTTGGCGCCCCAGGCACTGGTTCTTCAATCTCTGTGCGACGGATTCGCAGTTGACTGATGAGGCTGAAGCGTGATGCGAATGTGCGATCGCAATGAGGACAGGTTGGGGTCGAAGCAACGTCGGTGGAAGTGGGAGTGGTAATGGTGAGGATAATGACTGACGGACCGTCGTAAGCGTGCTGGGCGGTGGCGAGAGTGGAAGATGTGGTGGTCATCGCTACCGTCGCAGAAGTGGCGGCAGGAATGACAGAGATGGCGGTGATTGACGGCGGCAGGGCACGGAGATGTTAGGCATCGGTGGTGATAGTAGACGTCGTCGTGGGTTGGAGCATGGTCAACAGTCGGGCTGTTGGTGCACTGGGTCCTAAGATGTCTTAACAGGCTGATCCGCTCTTGGAATGCTCCCTGACAGGGGAGGAGGTTGGAAGGGGTTGCGGCCTGGAATTGAGGATCAGGAGCGTCCGAGACTTGAGAGCCTCCCTTTCGACTTTGACGGCAGACTGTCCAGGTATTCGCACCATACAGCTGCGTCATCAAAATCACAGCTTTGCACATCTTTCCTTCGATGTTGAGATGGAGACTGTGAAGATCCCATACGACGCTCTGCACCTGGCTAAAGTCTTGGCTGGCTTTAGAAATCTGGTAAGCCTCCTGATCGCCGGCTTTGATGCAATCTTAGGGTGTTTTGCCTAAGGAGACGATGTTGTCCATGGTTTTTCGCTGGGTGCGGGGAGCGCTGTATGTAGCGGTAGGAGGCGGTTGATGCATGCCCACCGTTTTTGTCCGCGTTGATGGTCAGGCCGAAGATGACGCAAACGGAGGCGAAGAGGTCCATACTCCGTTGAATGTCTACTTCTGTCTATCACGATGCTGAGCGCGTATTGCGAATGCGAAGTACACGACTGCCAATCCCAGATTATGCATATCAGGCCAAGACGGGAGCTATGGGAGAATTAGTAGATAACTGTCAAACGACCTGATAATCCAACACATGCCGCACGCGTCGCGTTGAGTCGAGTACCTTCCATTCAGCTAAACAAACAGTAAGTTCAAAAA